CTATGAGAAGAGGCTGAGGGAGTTGGGGCTGTTCAGCCTGGAGAAGAGGAGGCTCAGGGGAGACCTCATCACTCTCTACAACTACCTGAAAGGAGGTTGGAGCGAGGTGGGGATTGGTCTCTTCTCCCAGGCAACTATCAACAAGACAAGAGGGCATGGTCTTAAACTGCACCAGGGGAGGTTTAGGTTGGATATTAGGAAGAAATTCTTTACAGAAAGGGTAATCAGGCATTGGAATGGGCTGCCCAGGGAAGTGGTTGCTTCTCCATCCCTGGAGGTTTTTAAGATGAGACTGGATGTGGCACTTAGTGCCATGATCTAGTAACCATGAATGGTTGGACTTGATGATGTCTGAGGTCCCTTCCAACCCAGATGATTCTATGATTCTATGACTGTAGGAAGCATCAGCAAAGTATTACAGGTATAGAAGTCAAGAGCTTTTCTTCCATGTGTCATTTATGTATTGCATTTATGTCCCAACTTTAAAATAAAAATATGCAAGCAGAGAGCATCCTTGGGTAATTATAGCAAAATAACACTAGCAGAAGATAATAGGCAGTAATTTGGTTGCAAAGACTAGAACAAATGAGTCCTAGATGATTACTTATAAATAAAATATTTCTCATTAAAAGGTATTGGTGGAGAATCTTGGTCTCAGATATGTCACAGGAAAAAATCCTATTAATTTCAGTGAATACAGGGGTTTTTTTTGATGATTTCTTATTACAATAATTTAATAGCATCTCAAGAGATGTCAAGTCTTAAACCTAATTTGTCATCTTGTCTGCACTGTTTATTTGTTTGCACTGCATTCTGCTATTCTTTGAAGTTAATTTTATTAAATGATATAAAATGAAAAAAACAACCAAAGCAATCTATGAATAATAATTGGGTAAAGGATTTATATCTTATTCGTTGTTTTCAATTTTATGCATGTTACATACCATATTTGTTCAGAGATTGTCTTCTTACAGTGCATTTCCCAAAACATGGATTAATTATGTCAGATTTTCTGCAACTACACTGGGAGTATGGAAATTGTGAAGATGGTATTTTCAGTATATACTATTACCTTGGTCCCCACTTTCTGGATTGGACTGTTTGCTGTTTTCACAAGTCCTACTTTTACTCGTTGAATGAGAATTCACTTTTCAAGGCAATAAATAGGGCATATTGAGTTCTCATCTTGGTCTTACATCAAGGCATCATAAGGTTGTGTGCCTAAACTTGAAAGGTGTCTCAGAGTCCTCATGAGTAGCTGATGCCACTAACTACAAAAGAAACTTTTTTAATTTGGTTACATTTTGGCACCTGGTCCCCCTGTCAATTCTGTTTTAGGATATACGAAAATTTATTGCTTCCGAAAAATGCTATATATAGTCCTATAAAATTTTCTCAGTGATGTGTTATGCACAGTTACTGAGGATTATACAAGGAAAGTATTTGAAGAAAATAGGCTGCTTTTACCAGCTAAAGGAAACCCTATCAGAATGTATTATAGAGTGTTGAGCTCAGTAACACTGTACCTTCAAACCAATAAGTACTTCTGCTTATATTTTATAATTCATGAAAACTGATTTAGGAATAATTTATATGACACATATTTAGGTGTTTGGCAATTTATGAAAAGGCCAGCATGTTTTACAAATGTACTTAATACTTAGAAGTCAATAAATATACATAAATATATTTGTACAAAATAATAACAACCCATGCTATCTCACTGAGGCAAGCATTCGACAAATGGTTCTAAGGAGCTGTGATATTCAAAAACATGAAGACAACACTACAGTGACAGTGGAGTAGATCAGTGTTCCCAAGGGTACTTATTCCTATTTAAAATTAGGATTCAGAATAGTCACCATAGTGAGCACTGTGACACTGAAGTCAGCCCACAGGTATATGAAAGATAACAACATGTGAAACTCTCTGTCTCATGTGTTTTTGTCAATGCTGCAGTTGCACATCTGTGTGAAACTGTGTGCTTAGGTGAGTGTGTCTGGTCTTTCCTTTCTTGCTTTGGCACTATGAAACAATCATTGAAAAAGTATAGGTTTGGTCCCCGTTCACTGCTTATGCGTTTTGCAGTAATGAAAATGAAAAGAAGAAAAGAACCATGCTTAGGACATATGAAAACACAAGTGGAAGTAATCCAGCATCTCCAAGACACTGTACTTTGAGGGCAATGTGACTGCAGTCACAGCATTCTGCATCACCTTGTACATCTACTTTATCTGCGAAATGTGCAGTTCTGGCTACACAGAGCAGCACTTCAGCTTCTTTGGTAGGAGACATGAATTAAATGGGTCTTAATGGGCATATGCTTAACTAATTTACCCAGTTTTTACCATCTAGAATTTGAACATCTAGTTTAAGTAGTTTAAGATAGTTGCTACACTTTCAATATAGTATGATATATTGGAGTAGAGACACATCCACAGTCTATTAGGGACATATCCAGAGTCTATTAGAGAGAACCAGTTTTTCCCAGTTTAAACAAGGATGTAGGAACTGTTATTCAGAGATTGTGTAAAACAAAGAAATAACCAGGGTGACTAGCTTGAAATACTTTGCATTCCTGACTTGATAACTTAAAACTCAAAACATTTCCCTACTCTTATTTTTGCAAAAAGAACTCTCCATCATGTGGACATCTTTGGGGGAAATTTGTTGAAGATCATTCAAAAGGAACAGATAATTCTTTCATGTGGGAATAATTTCATGCGTTGTCAATAGCATTTTTACTCCTTACACTTTAGATGAAGGTGTTTAGTCATCTCTGCAAAGAAACTGTCAGTTCTAGGAGCTTGTTTTGCTATCCTGATGGTTGAAGTGAAATTTTGTTGGGATTAGTCCTCTTCACACTATAGACCTGATTTTGCAGTGTAGTTAAGAAAGAGCCATTGCTAAGTAGGAGTCTCCAAAACCAATGTTATGCATAAATTGAAGTGTGTTCCTGAGTCATGCCTGTGGTTTGGTGTGACTGTCATTCTGTTTCCTCTGAGTGGGAATGATGTGCATGGTAAAACTGTATGGAAATGTCAAAGTACCACAGTTCTATAGATCCTTCATCTTCGCTCAAACTTAATCTGACTTGAAATAAGGCCAGGTACCCTGGGATTTTACCTGCCCAACTAAGGGTCCTTTGTTAATGCTGCATCTCTCTCCTGGCTTTTCCATACATCATCGGAGAAGAGAAAGATGATAGCTCATTTCTTCAATTGTTTTCTCCTGAGATAAAGAGACAATCAATGCCCTTTACATTTCTCATAGCTTAAATAGATTTGCTGTTCCTGAAGAAAGGCAATGGTCTTGATCTTCTGACAAGATTTGTTTAGTTACATAGATCTGTAAAAAAAAGAAGTTTACGAAGCAGGTAGGAATATAACCACCTGAATGATATATTGGATTGCTTTGTTTTGTTTTGAACTCACAATATAAGTAAACGTCATTTATCAAACAAGGTCAAAGGAATTGCACACACCTAGAGATGGGGGAAACTATTCTATTTTCTGTAGCACAGATTGGTTGACTCAGGAGAACAGCATTTGAAATAAATATATTTTCTCCTAAATTGCCAGATCCTTCTAGTTTGTCCAAAACACGATGTCCTTAACTCTGTTTATGGCAGATGGGAGCTCACCTGTCACATACACACAGAGAATGAAAGTGGTGCTGAGACTAGGTGTTTATTTTTATGTGGAAGGGGCAACTACACAGAAAGAATTTTGGCGAAAAATTCTAGCATTTGCTTTATGTATTGTGCACAGTTAAGATGCTGTCCTTTTAGTCCTTTTCAGGTTACTAAGACAAAACATAGCAAACTTTATTTAGCTTGGTGTGTTGAGAAATTTTTGCCAGTCATTAACATGAAAAGATGAACACACACTGAAGCAAAGAGACCTGCATAGATTTAGGACAGTTAAAAATCTGACCTCCCTCAAATTCTTTTTAATTCTCAGTAGATACTAAATCTTTCATAGGTATAGACAAAGGGCACAGATGGAAGTGTCATCCTATGCCCCTGAGAGGAAATAATTTATGAACCCTTAGACAAAAGTGTTGCCTTAAGTTTCTGTGTTGTCCAGTGCCTGTGAAATTAATGTTTCCTCAAAGTAAAAGCACAATGTGAGTGATATTTTATTCTAATTATTTGAAATAATTTTTGTTCTATGTGAAATACTACTGGAATCACAAAGAAAAATTTTAATGCCCAAAATACCTGAAGGGTGAGGGGATATCTTTAAATGAGTCTGAGAAGACTTATAATGAAAAGTAGCACTTGTCCAATTTTAAGCAAAGTAATGGTTTTTTTCCTACATAAATCTACATTAAATATATTTTAAAAAAATATTTTTCTAGACAATTGTAAATTTTATTAACTAATTGTGTATTTTGTAGAGTAATCTCTCTTTTTTTCAACAAGACACAATGTAATTCATAATATAATTACTTGAAAGACCACTGATATGGTTAGAATTAATGATCTGCTCAAATTCCTCATTAAACTTTCATAAGTAAACTCTAAATATGTTCTCATCATAGAGTTTGTTTCTAAGTTGATTTGCCCTTTATGTTAATACTAGATTTTTCAATGTGGAAAGAAAAAGAGGGGATTTGTATGTAAGGTCATCACTTCAGATGGAGATAGGGAACCTATGAATTGTCAGTGGAAAAAAAATCTTTGGTTTTTGGCATGACAATGAATTTATAATACTTCTCCTTTTTGATTAATCAACATTAAATATAGATAAAGGAATTTCAGAGTAAATTTCACAAATTTAATCTGACAGATGTGAATCAAATGCTGTCAAAGTATAATACATCTATATGATCAAAGGGATATGTGATCACAGAATACTACAATCATTTAATTATGTATCATAGAGGAGTTAAAATTCTCTTGGAATGAGATCAGCTATTTCTAATACAATTTGCAATGATAACTACATTGACTTGCTTGTGTATGATTTTTGTGTTTTGGGTTTTTTTGCCTTTAGGCTGTGCTTTGGAGGTACAAGTTTTCCCAGCTCAAAGGTTCTTCAGATGATGGGAAGAGCAAAATCAAGTTTTTGTTCCAAAACCAAGATACTAAACAAATTGAAGCAAAGGTAAAAACAATACCTTGTTTATATAAAGGCAATGTACAATTTTGAAAGCAACCAGGGGAGAAAAGGAGTATAATAAACTAAGTTACTCCAAAATATTACATTAATGCACAAAGGATGCAAACAAAACCAAAGAAATTGAAGAAAACTGAATCAATTACTTGGACATTTTTCTGGTTTAAAGTCTTTTGAAAGGTGTCATTAGATTAAAAATTAATAAAATACAGGACTCGTTATTTATGGTTTTAGGCATGATTGCAAAATCTCCTCTTTGTCATTTTGATAAAGCTAGCTGAGAGATTGAGTGCCTTATTCCCTTACAAGCTGAAACTTAGTCTGTGTCCAATGCAGAATCAGAAAAGTTGTGTTTTCAGCTGTGCTTTTGATTCAAGAGTTAGTTCATGGAAACAGTAGCTGTGAGAGATTTAACCTTACTTCAATTTATGTCTTTTGAGAATAGGGCATTTACTGTCCCAGTGTGTGTGAGAAGTGTTCTCCCTGGGTCTCTGATAATTGAAATTGCCTTGCAGTCTGGATCAATGTTCTCTTTGACTAGAACCCTAATTTTAGTGTAAACTCAAAGACTATTTTCTTGTCCTTCTTTAACCTTGCTTATGAAGCATTTCCTACATCATTTTTCATGGCCACATCAGACAGAAAATTGCTGACTGAATGTGATAATAATACAGTTCCATGAGCAAATAGGAAATAGTTAAATAAATTGTACAAAGGTGCTAAATATGTACAGTATAATGAAGTGTGTAAAGAAAAAATACATTGCTTTATGACAATAGACACCTCTAACTTTAAATGTCAATAGCTACATTAAGCAACTATTTTTCCTTCCTCTATGTCTTTTTATGTTTGCTGTAAATTATTTTCTACCCAGCAGCTATTTACTTCATTTTGAATGTTTTACTCAATACAATGAAGGTATATAAAACCTCTCATTAAATCAACAACAATGAAATGTGGTGACCATGTCTTTCAATACATCCACGTTCTGCTGCATCTCAAAGATAAATACTTTCTTCTGATTCCTTCACAAATGGTTTTAATAATATAAAACTTTTTTTCACCTATAAGAAGAAAATGCAAACTAATTTAATGTCATGAGGATGATTTTCTCTTAAGGAAACAATTGTAAACTATTATCCTGCTGAAGGATGAAAGTCAAGTTATTCTTCTTCTAATATCTGTCTGCTATTGCTGTCATATTAACACAGGATTTTAGGATTGAAGAAACTTCATAGGAGTCTAAGAGTGGGACAGTGGTAGGTTTTTTGTTTGGTTTTCTTTGTTTGGTTTTATCATTGGTTTTCTTAAATTGGTAAAACTAGAATATATTTTTAATGCCTAATTAAATTTTTAAAAAGATTTCTAGAAAGTATGAAATCTAGACTTTGAAGAAGAAAACGGTTTTCAATTTTGAAGAAGAAAACAGTTTTGATGAAAATATTTTCCTGTTTTAGGTTATATCTGTCATGTAAATCACTTTATAAGCCTTAGAGATATCCTGGTACCTTTATTGTGCCTATTGTTGTTCCCATTCAAGTTGAATAGACCTTTATTTCCAGAAAATTTTGCCTACCTTTTATTAAAGTTGAAATTCTACCTTCAACCTTATGAAGGTAGAATATTACACAGAGTTACTAGCATGTTTATTAATATGTTATCATGTTCCCTGGTTGTTTCTCTTTACTATAAATATAAACTTTCACCTTAATCAATTTGGAAATAAAATTTGTTACTTTCATTTAATTTTCTTGGTGATCAAAGCATATCATCTATATTATGATCAAAGATGTCAGATTATATTCTCTTTGGAGGGTACTATGGCATTTATAATGAGACCATCTATCAATTCCAATTTGTTTGCTTGTTAAGTGTGTTGCTTAATCTAAGAAATGTAAATAAATGTGGCTGTAAAATGAAGGCAAAGGTTTTGGGTCATATATTTTGAACATTCACTGGTTAGCTTAAAATTCTTCAGTAGCATTTAAACCTTTCATGGATTTAAAGCCCTATGCAGCATGAGGAGAGGTGGAACAGTCTAGCCTCAATTTTTTTTGACTTTACATTACTAAGTTAGAGGTATAGCTATTTGTGGAACTATTGAGCCATTAGAAAATGTTAATCAGATTTTCAGAAATGCTTGTAATGCCAGATTTCATGCATACTGTATCCAGGTTTCATTTGGAATAAGACGATGGAAATTTTGTAAAACATCTGTTAAAGGTTGTGATGAATATTCATGGCAACAGCTTTCATCAGTGTTAAATGCAGCTCTGTTTTTCAGATGGCCTGGTGACTCACTGTTATAGGGGGAAATACAGTGCAACATTTTCCTTATGATTTTGGGGTTTTTCCAGTTATGTTATATTGGGAATAATCAGAATGTAGTGAAATGAGACCTCACAGTGGAGAACAAAATCAAAAATTTAAGGGGCTATTGCACCAGTTCATTAGGGCTCTTCACTTCTGCATTCCCAAGCAGGAGTTTGGAAGCAGGGTACCTTTCAAGGAACCTCAAATCCTGTGTACAGTTTTGGGCCCCCCACTGCAAGAAAGGTACTGAGGTGCTGGAGCAAGTTCAGAGAAGAGCAACAAAGCAGGTAAAGGGGCTGGAACACAAGTGTTATCAGGGCCACCAAAGGGAGCTGGGATTGTTTAGCCTGGAGGAAAAGAGGCTCGGGAGGGATCATATGGTACTCTACAACCTGAAATGAGATTATAGCCAGGTGAGGGTCAGTCTGTTTACATGAGTAAAAAACAATAAGTCAAGAATGGCCTCAATTTACACCAGGGGATATCTGGTGGTATACACAGAGATATCACTGCCAGTGTTAGAAGAATCTAGGAAAAATACATTTTGGGAAAAAGGTCAGCACCACATCCATTCATCAGGTAGCTTTTTTATTTTGTTGAGAAACACACTTGCCACCAGAGTTTATATTCCTAAGTGAAAGTGACTTCACTGACGCTGAATTACTAATATTTTTATAATACTGTCAACATTTTTGGCAGTGTGTTTCATGCCTGACTTAAAGAAATTCAAAATGGCTTGCTTTGAGACATACATGTGCTATGGATTTAGTTACAATTTAACTTATTACCCAGTATACTTCTTGTCAGTTTTAAAATAATTTTAGATATTTAAACATTACAAATACTGCCTTTTATTTTCTGTAGAGACTTTGTACTGATTCTTTTGTTTGGCTTCTCCCTAAGTTAAATCATGTTACTACAAAGATATATAATGTAGAATAAAAGAAGTGTTTCCTTATAGATTTAAGCAGTTCCAGACTGAAAAATCTGAACAATAATTACCATAGGTCACACCGGTGGATCCGTGGCAGGGTGCCTGGAAACAAACACCTGAGTTTGATGGTCTCTAAGGCAAAGTCTAAGTGGTTTCTGACAAGAAAACCACTTAAGGGCAACATTAATCACCAGTACCCCTTAGACATTCCAATCTGTAGGTTATTTCCCAGCTGTCACTCAGCAGGAGATATTGCATGAGTTTGCACAGTCAGACAGAATTTTTCTGAGTGAGAACTACAAAATAGAGCTGTCAGCTTGGCAGAACATGGAACCAATGTGTCCCTGTATTTCTTCTTACTGAATTGTTGGGATGGGTTAAAAAAAACCAAGCACAGAAGGGCAAAGCTTTCTCTGCATCTATAAGGATTTCACTTAGGTACCTTCCTATCTAGTTATCTATCTGTTTATCTGGGGGTTTAGGTGTAGTTTAATGATCCATTTTTTCTCCATAGTACCACAGAAGCCTCCAGAGACTAACACAATCTCAGGACTGTAATAAACTCAAGAGTGTTGTAATCTTCAATTTCATCTGACTAAATATTAGACCACAGCAGTAGAAACTGCTTTATATTTCTCTGACAAAAACAAAGAGTACCTTAAATCAATGAGAGATACTATTTCAAGATAAAATGCTTCCAAACAAAGAAGTATGTAATGTGTAGAAAAATTAGTGCTTTTTCTTATGTAATTTCTCCTTTGAAATTTCTAAGTAAGCACACCAAACCGTGAATTGAGAGTCTCTGTGCCTTGCAAAACATATGTATAACTCAAAAACTACATTCCAGTCTGTGTTTTCACCTCTCTCAAATCACAGCACAACAGTTCTGTCAGAAGAACTCAGTCAAGATCATGCAACTGTGCTGCATCAGGTGAGATTTTGTTCACAGACTACCTGAACTCCTAAGCTGAGCAGTACAAAACTGAACTGAATATAAAAATAAGCTTATAAAGATGAAGGTCCAGTCAATTGTCTTTGTCTATTTTAATATGGAGAAATGAAGAGGGCAGAAATACGGTATCAGCAAAAGAAGAAGCGTAACTTCGAGGATTAAGCATTAATCTTATTATTAATTAATACTACCTTAATAGTAATTAATGTGAATTAATTTGTATTTTAATTTGTGTAGTATAGAACTCTAATGTAAAATAGGACAAATATCCTGAGTCACTGCTGCTCACATTACTGAGAACAAAATACTCACTTTGAACGGTTGCAAGGTGACTTGATGGGTGCTCGCGCGATTTTCCAGACTGACATTTCTGTTTAAGTGTATTCTCCAAATTGCAATTTTAAATTAATCTTTGCTCTTAGCCTTGAGGGTTCTTCTGTGAGCACCACAGTGCTCTTCACATTTAGAATATCATCTTAAAAGGTAAATCTTTTAAATGTACATCCTTAAGATTTTTACAGAATGATTGCTCAGTTGCAGTGACTGCATTTCTGAGCTCAGATTTCTGACCTTTGTTCATTTGTGTGTTTCAGTTTTTATTTTCCCCATGTCTTGCACATTAATTATTTGTTTAATATCTCTTTTTAGATCAGATTCTATGCTAATATAGAGAGACTATGTAACACTAAATTTGATGAAAGAACAAATATTTTCTCATATCAGCAGATATGAGAATATGGATGAAAGAGAAGATTTTTTCCTAACCATATCATGGATACTTAGAAACAAAATTGCTTGATTTTGTAGATATATCATTTATGTGGTTGTATCATTAATATAATGCAATAAGAGATTGTTGTATTTTGTTGTTTGGGTTTTTTTCATTTGGGTGAACTCTTTTTTTGTTTTCTCTTTCCACCTCTTTCTTTCAATCCAGACTTTCTTTGTGAAAGGCTACTAGAATTTCCATACAATTCTGACCTTTCTCAATGACTGCATCTTTCTCATACACCTTTTAGCCCACTTACATTGTCCCCAGCAGGAACTGTGAATGTTCAGGTTAATAATCTGGGAGTGTCTACCATAATGACAGTAATATAGGGTGAAAGTAGTTTAATCAACAGATAGCTTATAAAGACAGTTTCAAGACCAAAGTGTACACTGATATTCCTAGGAGAGTAGGGTCTTAGGTGAGGTGTACAGACAACATTCTGGAAATTGGAATACTAAATTGTGTACTTTTGCGTGGACAAGTAGATGTGGCTCAAGTTAAGACTTCTTGCTTTTTGGAGGTTCAGAGAATATTCTTTTCCCTACTGGTATCAATTTTAATGGTTTCACTGCATGTTTTTTCAGGTCTCTTAGGGTTTGCCTATTTGTTTCCTTGAAACTTTGTCTAAAGTAGATGTGTAATATGCAAAACCCTGCCTGAATGAAAGTGTATTCAGATGAGATGATGACTGAGGATGAAATATATACAAAAGCAACCAAGGGGGGCTGGATATGAACAAAAGCCTCTGAGTTCCCCTCCATCTGCTGGCAGTAGTGCCAGCCTGTGGCCAGCATAAAGTGCAAGTTCTCAGTGGAAGTGAGGGCATGTTTAGTCTGCCAGTAGCTCTACATGAAATCTTATCTGTTCATTAAGCTTTCTTGTGATTAAGCTAATCTGCCAAAAAAGTGTTGTTCCTGATAGACCCTGTTCCCATCAATCAGGCTCCTGGGAACTGAGCTGCAGCCATTAATCAGACCTATATGTAGTCACCGCATACCAGCCAGTCTACTGTGCTTCACATTGCTTTAATTTCCAGTCAAATATGCATGTCTTCATTGAAATAGGAATAATGTTTCATGGCAAATAATAATCAAGCATTTACTTAATTCTTAGCGCTGTTCTTTACAATCAAGGTAATTTCCACCTTGTGTCATTTCTATCAATAATAGTAATCCAGTGGGACCTTCAGAGGCTGTTCTGTTGCTTCACCCATTCGCCTTGATGGTCCATTGAGCAATGAGTATTCCTGATGTGTTGCTCTTGCAGAAACCCCTGTAATAACTATTGGCAATTTTTATAGTCATGCACTGTGAAAATTCAGCGTCCAGTAGCTGTAATTATGATAGTAAGAACGTTCAGCTAGTAGGGTTACCTAGTTAACTCAAACAATTCTCAAACTATAATATTTATTTTAATAGGTTTATTCTGTTGAGACATGGGAGTAAATGTAGTCTTTCTATATATAACACGTGCAATTGATATTACAAATATTTCGCACTTCCACTAAATATTTATTGTCTCGTTTTAAGCTTCAGTTTTATTTTTATAATACTGATTAGATAAATTAATATATTAATAGAACTGAGTTAACTGAAAAGTAACTTAATGACCGATAGTTGTTATTCTGAAATAGCTTCCATAATTCCTTGTTTCCTCATCTTTCAATGTCCGTTGTTTTCTTATCTATGATAAATTTTCTTGTTTTGAAATTTGAAGCGGAAAAGGCACCACTTTGACATAGTGATAAAATTGTCTTTCTCCCAAGGTTTAAAATTGAAAATGTCTCTAAACAGATTTTTTTTTTTGTATGGACACAGATGGCAGGTTTGTGAAATTCAGCATAAATGTTATCTTCTTTATTGATAATTGATTGTCAGGGGAGTTTAAAGAAGCTCATGGGATGGTACAAATTTATTTCTGAGCATGTCTGAAGGACATCTGCTGGAGTTGTAAGAGAGCTGAACAAAACTTCACCTATTCAGCACATAACTAGACACTCTGCACATGCAGCTTTCTACTTTCACACTGTTGCCCCTCACACACGTGGGGGATTTGTGAATGTCTCCATGTATTCCGTGAAGAAATATCTTCCAGGAAATATCAAGGGGAAGAAAATTGCAGGTTGATGTAATTTTGAGAGATTTAGCAATTTTTGTTGAATTTACATCATCAGTATTCTTCTAAGCAAAAGAGAAATACCCTCGGCACTACATAACCTGGAAATACTAGTGCTAGACAGAAACAGAAACAGAATATACCACAGATATCTATTATTGGCTTCTTATTGCAGTGAGGAAATCTGTATAGGCAGTGAATCAAAGCAGAAAGATAGCAACTGTGCACCACTATCCCTATACCTACATGTATTGAAGTACCTGTGTTTGCTTTCAAATACAACAGATATTGATTAAAAACCAGCTCCAAGAACACATACTGAAGATAACCTTAAAAAAATTGATCAGACAAAATTAATTAGACACAAAGGAGCAAATTTATGTATGTAAAAAAATGTAGGTTTTTTTCCTCTGTAGTGGTGTCTATAAGAGTGCCAGGTAGTCTAATTGTATGCTGATGGGCTGTAAAGAAATGTAAATTAAGGTAGAAAAATAAGGACTTTGTATAATATTATTAATGAAGTTAAAACATGGAGTTCCTTTTTCGGTCCAATAACAGATCCAAAATTGATCCAAAAAATCACTGTGTGATAGTAGCACTATTTGAAATGTCTTTTTTGTGTTGTTTGTTTGTTTTTTTTTTTAATTATAGAATCAGGTAAGATGATAGCTAACACTGTGAGGTGACATGATGAACAAATGTAACATATGTGGAACTCAATGTTATTGATTTTTTGTGCGTACACTGGTTATCCAGTAGTAGTCCAGAGATGTGTAGATTGTTATGGTGCAACCATTAAGTTTCTATCTAAATTAACCTGCAAAAGTATCAGATTTGCATTAACCTGGAGCAAGATTACATAGTATCACTTTCCTTTTCCTTCAGCCAGCAGGATCTTGTATTTGTCCATCTTAGCCTCCAAACAATTATTTACTGATTGTTACATGTTCAATATTTAAGTCCCTATAATGGAGAATTGTAGGGCACATTAGCAGGATGGCAATAAGTTATTAAAATTATTGCTATTTGAGTAGCAGTTCATTCCTGGCTATGTGTTTGTGAAGTGTTCTTCTGTTTCATGTTTAATCTTTTTTGTTTTCACTTCCAGGAGCTGGAGTTTTCCAACCTGTTTGCAGTCCTTCACTGTATCCACTCATTCTTTGCAGCCAAAGTGGCTTGTTTGGACCCTTTGTATGTAGGCAGCCAAGCCACAGCTTCTGCTCTTCCCACAACTTCTGGTACTGGCAAATTAAAGTATACTACTTGACATCTCATATGACAGCACTGCCACTTAACAAGGACACATAACAATGTATAAATATTCATAAGATTTAGACCTTTGGTGAACTATGTACGTGGAAACCAATCCTGGAGGCAAGACATCTTGCAACATCAGCAGATAAATGGTCACATGGGATCATAATTTCATCTCAGTTCTGCAAGACGTCAGTAAATAATACTAGTCGAAACCCCAGAATAGGATGGATATGCTTTTAGTATTATCTATTTGTACTTACATAGTGCTTTAAACAACACTGGAAGCAAAGGAATAAATGATGAAATGAAGCACTTGAGTATTTAATAAAAATTTCAAATTGCTGTAATAATACACAAAAAGAATTGTCATTTTCCTGTTTTCAGATTTTTTTATGACAATATACTAAACTCTGAGTATGAATATAATGCCCTATCATTATATTATAAATGAGAGCAAGCAGTAAGCATATAATACATGGTGAAAAGGAGATAAGCATGAAAAGTCATTTGTGTAAGTATCTCCTCAAATAAGAAAGCACTTTAAGCACTGCTGTAAATCCATACTTGTGTCCATACATGGAGTCATGCTACTTTTTCCATTTTGTTTTCTTAGTCTAACAGTAACAACAACAAAGATACAGCCATACTGGACTGATAAATTAAAACCAAACCAAAAAAAACAAGGCACAAAAAGCAAAACACCTTTTCATGGGTAAGACCCTCTTCTTCAAGTAAAAATAATGGCATATGAATTTAATTGTAATAACAAATTAAGTGCAAGTACAAAAAATATCGTCAGCTGTTTACTTCCTCCTTTTTTTTTGTCAAGAGTACTGTAAATCTAACAGTCTTTGTTCACAAGATTTTGAATTTGTTTCAGAGACAACCCACTTAATAGGTTTCTTCCATGGTTTAACCTTGATTTCATAAGTAGGATGTCTGCTCCACTCAAGCTCTCAAGAAATAGACGTTTTACATTATGCTTGGAAAATTAGTGCACTCTTTGAATTCTTAACAATTTATATTTTATAGATCTACATTGTTAGAAAAAACAGGAATAATTTAAATAAACTGTAATGAATAGATTACAAAATGGATAATTTCTTTGTCTGTTAAGACCATTACATCACTCTGGACCATGTACTAATTCGAGAGTATCATTTAAAGTTGAAATATGAGGGACTTGTAAATTTAAAATTAATAACTTTATTTAATTACAGTTTTGCAAAATAATTTAATACTGTACTATGACACACATCAGTGAACATGGGAAAAAGGTGTGAGGATGTGTGTGATATAGTTGAAACAACAGAAAAGGTGAGGGATTTTTTCTTTTGATAAACAGGAAAGAGAACCAAAAAAATACGGGAAGAATAGTTAGTGAGCTACAGTTTGGGCAAAACATTTTCAGTAGTATTTGTGGGTTTTCTGCTTATTATATTGTAATCAAAACTTCCTTTCTTTCCCCCCCCCCCACTTAGACTTGTCAATAGCAGGTATGGACTAGGGACACCATCTGCCTTTTTTAGCAGACATGCAAATTCTTTCGCATTCCTTTCTACGTATTAAGATAATTAAAAACTTCAAAAGTGAGGCCAGAGAAAAGCTTATCAAAATGGGAACAATTCAAACTGCAAGGCAGTTTTATTTTGCTTTGCATTAGAAGTATTTAGATTTACATATGTGGGAGTTACATTGCTTTGACGTATAACTGATCTAACTTGATACTAGCTCCAAATAATCAAAAAATGTATTTTTCTGAGGACTCTTTTATCACTTTCAAATGTTTTTCAGTACACATTTACTTCCTTCTGGTACACCTCCAAGGGCTACACATTTATTTTTAATTCTAAATATAGTGGAATGATGTCATAATCCAGCTATTAAATACTATAAGTGTCATCAAAATCCAACATTTTCATAGGCATCATCATGTATTTGTTCATATGAATTGTCCTTAAATAAGGGCATCACGTACTGGTCTCTGAGTGACAGATAGAACTACCATGGCTGTCCATAGGATCTTGAGTTTGCTCCTGGGAGAGTACAATCCCCAAATACTTTGAATCCAAAGCTGCAACAGTCTAAGAGGTTTAACAGTTGTGTCCTTGTCAAGAAAGCATATACTGGAAACACAGATCTTGGCAGAGTGCTGACAGTGCTGAAAACAGAAGTCTGATATCTGTTAATGACAGTTCTCCTCCTCAGTGCTCCCAAATCATCTCCTTGTTTCAGTGCATTGCTGTGGCATTCAGCTATCACAGTGTCGGCATACGCTAACACCTCAGTGCATGCTCTGCTGGCACTGGCAGAATGTAAAACTAGTCAGCTGCCAGTTGTATGTTTTTCCTTCAACCGTCCATGTTATGTGCACTTTTGTACCACTGAAACTGAGAGGTATTTAAGAGATGTGCTTGAATGAGCATAACATTTACCCAAACCAGCACAAAGTATGTCATTGGAAATTTCTGTAGATGAAGGGATTCCATCATATGACAGCCCCCCTACTAAAAAGAAAAATCAAAATACTAAAAATGATTATTGTGGAGAATGGAACTAATGACAGGAACTTTTGGTACGCCAGAGTATCCTGAAGATCTCTGACAAGTATTCTTTTTGTAGAACCCCTGTATTCATCACTGAGACTTTCGCAAGTGGGCATTAAATACACAACATTTAAGAAACACATTAGCCTGTAAATTGATTTTCTTTTTGTTTTTCTAAAGAGGTCAACTGGTAGGACTTAATCAATACTTTATTTTCAGAAACATATAAAACGTCATAGCCTTGACTGTAGGTCAGCATTGATTTTTTAGTGCAGCAGGGGTTTGTGCAGTGATGTCACAGAATATTCAGAGGTGCCTCTGCATCCAACCTGACCCTTGTAAAGCAAGTTGGTCAGAAATTCAGTCTTGAACCAAAGAGGGAAAGTTTTAAACTCTGTGTTATAAGTAATCCTTAAATACCAAAACAAAATTTGCAAACATATTAAAAGGTTACATTTGTCATTTAAATACCTACAAGAGGTTTCCATTCAAAGCGTAGGGAACTTCATACGTATATGTCAAAACTCAGGCTTTAGGTTGCAGCCTGTCATTTCACATTTAATATAAAATGAATAAAAGTATTTTGTAAGTACACACAGCCCAGAGACAATGAAAAAAACACAATTATGAGCCATCAACTTTTGCTAAAATATGAGTATGCAAGTGGAGGCAAATATTTTAAGAAGAAAGAGCAAACCAACCAACCCATAGTATAATATGTAATTTATTTTCTTTATGTCATGATACTGTCAAGTTAGTTTAATATAGAAAATTCTTTATGGTACTGTGCCTATTGAAGTGATGTTATACAGTATACCAAAAATACACTTGGTTTGATTTACTTTGCTTTGTGATGGGAATTTTAGATAATCTGATCTTCAAAGAACTGATCATATGATAAGTTATAGTGTTAGCATAATTTTATTAGGGAATTGTTACTGGTTTGAATACATATTATTCTTGATTTCGTCAGTAAATGAATACATTTCTTTTCCTAAATCTGTTTAAAAATACAGTTAGAGATTTTCAAAAGAGCTTTGCATTCTAGTGGCATAAAGGCATCTTTGAAATAAAGATCAGCATATTTTTTAGCTGTTCACCATTTTGTTATCTTAATTAAGTGCAGTAAGTTTGTGGAGACAAGTTAATTGTAAGTGTGTTATTTTTTAAAATCAGTAACTGGAAGGGTTTTTTTACAATTCAAACTAGAATTTTTAAGAATGCAAATCAATAATACAGTATCAATTTGCTTTGAGATGAAAATCATCTTAAAATCATCTTATTTTCAGGATTAGTCCTTGATTCTACAAAAATATATTTATTTATTTTAGACATGTAGACTTTTCAGAACACCTCAAAGTGCACAATCAAACGCGTAGGTAGTTTTCAGCACTGCAACCTGCTACTTTAAATGTGATTTGGTTTATTCAATGCCTTAAGATGTTTCTTGAATCAGAAAAAAAAATGTTAAAAAAGTTGAAGATCTCATGAATGTATAACAGTTTTCCTTAGAAAGTCATACCAGTTTTCATTCCACTTTGACTATTCCAAGGAAGCTTTTGGAAATTTTATTAATATTAAACACTAATCCTTGCATTTGACTTTCCGTTTCTTTATGGGATCTGGTCTCTGAAAAAGTATGATGTCTGAACAAAAGTTTAAGCTGATTTTAAAATTTCTGTATCAGGGAATTATGAGTCTGTGCTTTGGACTCGCACCTCTGACCAGTTCAGTATGATGGGAAACATGAGAGACTCACTCAAGCTCCCAAAATTTAACTTGTCTTAGATGCCACTCAAGGCTCTCAAAAGGGAAACACAAAGCAGGACTGTAGCTTCAGATATCTGAAGGTGCATGTGTATGTCTCTCTCTCTCTCTCTCTCAGGAGCTAGAGGTGCTCCTATCCTAGTGCTTTAATTTTATCAGAAATGTGTTTTTTTAATATGGACTCTGCCTGCACCCACTCATTGTGCTATTCTTCATATCACAGAGTAGTCTTTAAGCACATGAACCATTTTTATCAGGATGAAACTAAACAAGCATCACATCTATATAAGTTCCAGGTTCTAATGGGCTTTCAGACCATGCAGCCCAACTGAAATGAGTTCAGAGTAAAAAAACCCTCTGACACGCTAACAGTGAGACTGCCAGGTTCTGGTGCCAGGCGTTTCTGTGTCTGTGGGGCCGCTACTTGTGCACTGTGGGTGCTCGAAGGGCCCTAAAAAACTGAGTTTCCCAGTATAGCCCACCAGAGTTTAGTGCCTGAAGGGGGATGCTGTGCTGCGGCAAGGGGTAGAATGAAGCTGAAAAAGGCTGATGTTGCCAAGGGCCAGTTATTCTGCGTCATTTTCCCTCGCCACACTGGGATAGTATTGGCTACAAGCACGCTACTCCATGCAGGTCAGCCTTCTCCCTGATGCATCTTTTTCCTGGTCTATCACATACAAATACATACCTGAATATTTGCTATGAGGTCCCCAAGTGTACTTCCCTGTTTCCTCACCCCTGTTATTCAGACAGATGGAAAACTGTACTCTCACCTACATAACGGAGCTGCTAATGCTTATACACAGTCAGGGGACAGTGTTAAGGATTATGGCAAGAGCATCTGTGTAGCAGTAAGAGTGCTTGAGTGTGATTAACATTCAGGTTATAGCAAAGTCATATCTGTGCTTAAGTGCTTTCCTGACTTGGAGGGTTCTTAAGTGGAATTTTTGTATTTTCCCAGAATAAGTTCTATAATGTCAACACATTTCTACTTGCTTGGCTCAATTTTCAGGAAGTTTGGTAGAGACAGTGGTTCATATCTTGTTGGAATAATAGAAAAAAACATAGGAATACTGGAATAAAAATAAATTTCTGTTCTGATTCTGTATATTATTACAGTACATTACGTAATCTATTAAAATATATTGAACAATTTAAAACTAAATGCTTTCATTTACATTACCTAGTTTCACTACGGTATACGTGGCTTCCACTTTCAACAACTTTCTCCACAGGAATCCCAGGTATATATTGTAGAAATTATTTTATTATTCAGTATATACTAATATATAATGCAGCGTGTGTGTATGTGTGCGTGTGTGTGTGTATGTATATATTAGTATATACTAACGGAAGATATTCAGTATATATTAATGAGAGTTACATATTAGGCACAACTATGAAACAGAAGCATAAATCCATGAAGCTTTACATTTAAAAAGTTATAATACTATAAAGAAACATATGTATATTAGTTGAAGAAATGGCTATTTTTGCAGGATATGCACAGTCTGGGTATATGATAATAAATTGATAAACACTAACTAATTTACTATTTCATACCTCCAGGAACTTTTTTTTTTTAATTATTCTTATCTCTTTAGCATATTTGCAATATATATCATAAGTTTTAATTTGTTATGAATAAAAATGACTGAAAAAATGTAATAGAAAGTGCTATATATTTTATAAATATTAGAAATTTAAGAAAAGCTATTCAAATTATTTATTTCATTTTTAGTTAAGGTTTTGTGATTGTTTGTAATATGTATTTGTGACAAGCATAAATCACCTAGTTGTTTAAGCTCATTAATGTATCACTAATAAAATGCTATCTTCTGTTTTGTTTTTGTTATGCTTCTTTTTGTAATGAAACATAACAGAAAAAATAGAAAATAAATACTTTTTTTAACTAACCTTTTGCATTCAGTCATACAATGTATGAGTTTCATATCATTGAAAGCCAAGTCTGGGAAATGAAGGAAGTAGTTGGAGACCCTGGGGTAGTAAAGTTATTTCCCAACACTATGCACAACTGATTATTTGACAGAAATAATGACCATTCCTTGCCTGTATGATCAAGGTATATAACCCACTTAAAGCTTGACTAGGATTTTGGAAATATCCACCTCTCTCCTAGCTATGAGGCTCACCTGCAGCCAGATCATTTTACCATACGACTGCCAGATTATTTGACCATTGACATTTAATTCTTAGTTTTGTTTGGAATTAACTTAGACCCAATATTGCAGTGCATGAAGGCATTTTTGGTATATCTTTGAAACCAAACAGCTTTAAAATGATGCCGCATCTACTAGAACAAAACCAACTTTGATGAGTTTGATTTTCTTTGTCTTTTTCCCTGACTGAGGGAGGCGATGTTAAAAGAGGGTGAGTCCCTTCTTTTATTTAGGCACCTTTGTACCTTTTTAACAATTTGTTGTGAGTCAAGTGCACACCTTACAAGCACATTTTTAATGCCTTTCTTGTGCTCCCAGTTTAGAGAAGCAAGGTAAGCTCCCTTAAGGCAGTGCTGCTGTCACCTTTCTCTCTCAGCCCCTCCACAAACAGTCACTGGGGCTTTTTTGGACCTCAGGCTGGTGTTGTCTTCCTCGGTTCTGCACCCAGGAAAGCTTCCTTTGTGACCTCAGTCCTTTCAGCATCTTGAAGAGAAGGAAAAAAATATGAAATTTATTGTAATCATAAGTGTGATGAACACTTTGTGTTGGAAAAATCCTCAGTCCTCATTCCCAGATATGATTTGGTTTTTGTGGGCTAACAAACACACATAACTCTGTAACATCAGTTAGTTACCTGCATTTCAAGTTTGTTTTTATACCACATTTAAGTGAAAGGCCAGAAAGAGGAAAAAAAAAAGAGGAGAGAGGTCTTTAAAAAAAAAAAAGTGAAGAGAAACATAGAATATTACAAGGTTAGGAATACCTTCTAAGTAAGTATAATCTAAATGTATAGGGATCCTGTCGTAGCGACCATTTTCATTTGCCTGTTAAATAGGAACTATGTATTATATTGAGAGTATGTACTTATAGAATGGAAAGGTTTATTTATTCTGGAATTACCTATCTTAATTTGAATTATCATTTTTAATCTAGCATCTTTTGCATCTTGTCCACAGATTTTGACCTCAAATGAAAGGTCTTGTACTCAAAATTTCTTGAGATACAACCCTT